CTGCAAGTGTAGTAAATGTGCCATTCTCTAATGGCTTCTTAACCGGGATGGACTTTACATACTGTACTGTGATGTAGCTTTACTATGTAACAGCTATGGTCGTGTTCAGAAATGGTCGTGTATTGTTGTCTTAGAGAAAGGGTGTTGTTTGGAAAGAAAGAACTGTGCCCCCTCGGAGGGGCAGCAGACCATCCTGAGGCCAGATCCAGCCCTGGGGAGCCGCTGCCATTGCCGCCACGCGACAGGGTTGGTTAAACAGGGCAGGGAGGGCAACTGCTCCGATGCTGGCGCCGGGGAAGGTACGAGGGAGCATCTCCCCAGCAGCATCGGCATTGGTTACACTGGCACTAGAAACACTTCCAGGAAAAGTCCTTTTTACCCTCTCCGTGATTTAATATCTTGAAAACTGCTTTTGCCAGACTGTGGAGCTGAGCCTGAGAAGGGTCAGGTATTTTACCATCAGCGTGGCTTGTGTTTCTATGCCTAGCGTCCAGTAATGCCTATTGGAAAACATGATTTGTGACAGTGGGATCTGCAGCACAGGTGAGGTACTGAAAGATTTACACATGGACTTGGTGCGCACCTAGCTAGGAGTAGACAGACTTTGATTTTTAACAGGGAACTTGCCTTTAGTAGTAAAATAGCTGCAAGAGCTATGCGAGGTTCACCCTTCAGCTCTTGTAAAGCCAATGTCACTGATGGCTTTAGCTTGCACACTTGAAAGCACGTATGTAGAGTGAAAAACAGGGTTTGTAGACAGTTGCACAACAGCAAAAAGGAAGAAATCATATGATATGTGCTTCTCCCTTTTTCAATGTCTTAAGACACACAGCGTGTCATTAAAACCAGCAATACATGTTTCCTTACTCAGATTGTCCCAGGGACGGTCTTTGGCCCAAGGAAGCCCCACAGAGCCAAATACATAATGAGAAGTTGGAGGGGTTGTCTTGTCTTTTCAAAGTACCAGTGCAAGTCTCCTGCCACTGAACTAGTGTACTGATTTAAAAAAAAATAATGTGTAAATACACCCAACAATGGTGCTCCTTGACTAGTCAGTAATCATAAGCAAGCCTTGTAAAACCTCTGAGAGAAGATATTTTAAAGCTAAACTACTTAAGTGAAAGCTCACATATGAACACTCAGGACTGATCTATCAGGATG